TGCGTATTTTTGCCACAATTAGAAAAAATACATGAACAACAATGAGTACAAGGAAGAAGAATATGTTCTAGAATTGAATGTGAGGATAATTGTACAACTCTTCTTGATATGATGGAATTATCAAATTATATGTCATGAGGATTAAGTGCTAATAAAACTTAAAAAGAAGAATCAGAAAAATACACAATCACGGTAGCAAAAAGAACTAGTTGACATTCCATCATTTCAGGAGGTAACATATGAGTAAGAACCGATGGTACTGAAGGAAGAAGAAGTTCAAGCTACCCTGAAATCATTAGCCAAAAACAAGGGATTGCCCTTGCTTTTGGAATTAGAATACCAATTTAAATGTTTCACCAAGCTGATGAAGCACGGGAAGCACTCACTCATCCATGCCAGGAAATTTGGAAGACAGCTACTTTGCCAACTGACTGGAAGAGAACCATACTTGTGCCCATCCCAAAGAAAGGTGACCCAACAGAATGCTCAAATTATGGAACAATCTTTTTGATATCTCATGCTAGTAAAATATTTCTGAAGATTATCCAATGATGATTGCAGGAGTTCATTGACAGGGGGCTCCCAGAGATTCAGTAGATGTCATGGAACAAGGGATATCATTGCTGATGTCAGATGGATCTTGGCTCAAAGTAGAGAATACCAGAAAGATGTTTCCTTGTGTTTTATTGACTCTGTCAAGACACTTGACAGCAAACTATGGATTGCCTTGAGAACAATGGGAATTTCAGAACACTTTATTGTGCTCCTGTGGGACTTGTATATGGATCCAGAGGCAGTTGTGTGAATAGAACAAGGAATAAATACTGCATGGTTTAAAATCAGGAAAGGTGTGCATTAGCGTTGTATACTCTCATCATATGTATTAATCTGTATGTGCAGTAAGTAGAGAAGCTTGATTATATAGAGAAGAATATAGCATCAGGATTGGAGGAAGACTTATTAGCAACCTTTGACATGCAGATGAAACCATGTCAGATCCAGCCTCATATCTGGGGGATTCCTAAACGGCAGTTGTGTAATTGAAGGGAAGAAATTGAGACAGACAAAAGTTTTGGGGTGCTCACCCCCGCCATGGCTTCAGGAACCAGATCTGAGCTGAGAGAGATTATGTATTCCCAACATCAGTTTATATACTCTTGGGGCACCCAAGCCCCCTTAATTACAGGTAGCCACAAACTTAACAAAGTAACTAAGGTCCCTGAGTTCACTGGCAGAGTAACCGAACACCTGTGCAGGTTGCAGGTAAGGGGGTGACTGTCCCCTGAGTAGTAAGAGCAATAGCAACATGTCTGCTTCTACAGATTAAGCTGCTGGCTAGATAGCAATCAGCCATGTGCTTGTAAGAGGTAACTTGAAGGCAGCTCTATTATGGAAGGATATTGTAGGGATTAATCTTAGTTATGAGAATGTGATCGGGACTCATCTCCAACCCATCAGAAGGCCTCCCTCCACCCAGAATTCTGACCTGCTAGGCTTTTTAAAATATGGGAATAAAAAATTTGTCCACATACACTCTTCCCATTCCTCAGTTTCCCACAACACAACCTTCCTTTCTGAAAGTGAGGAGGACTTGAAGCACTTGCTGATGAAGATCAAGGATTGCAGCCTTCAGAATGGATTACAACTCAATGTAAAGAAAACAAAATGTCCATCATGATAAATGGAGAAAAGGTTGAAATTGTCAAGGATTTGTCTTGCGTGGATTCACAATTAGTGCTCATGGCAGCAGCAGTCACAAGATCAAAAGATGGGTTGCATGGGGGAAATCTGTTGCACAAGGAAAAGCAAGAATGTTACTTTGAGGACTGAGGTGCGTCTGACCCAAGCCCTGGTGTTTTCAATTGCCTCTTTTGCTTATGAAAGTTGGACATTGGCTAAAGAAGACTGAAGAAGTACCACAGACTGCTGAAAGGAAACATCTGTCTTGGAAGAAGTATGGCCGGGATGCTTCTTAGAGGCAGAATGGGAGACTTCCTCTTACATATTTTGGGCATGTTATCAGGAGAAACCAGTCCCTGGAGATGGCCGTCACCCTTGAAAAGTAGACGGGCAGTGGAAGAGAGGAAGGCCGTCCAGGAGATGGAGGGACTCGGTGTCTGCAACAGTGGGCTCAGGCACAGGAAGGATTGTGAGGACGGTGCAGGACCTGGCAGTGTTTCGTTCTGTTGTGGGTAAGGTCACTATGTGTCGGCACAAACTCGGTGGCACCTAACAACAACAACCACAAGAAGAGGCAGAGGCCAGAGTGTGTTCACTCTCCCCAAATCAAAAGGAAGTGTTGTATGCTTTCTTCCTCTTTTTTCTCTTGGAAAATACCAGTGCCCTTTATCGTCTAAAATACACCTTGTATCCTACCCGCGGCAAAACAGCCCCCCCCCCCCTCTGTAAATGTAGAATCTGGTGCTAGAGATACTTTCAAAATTAAATTTGGAGGCATTGATTCCTTGGCAGTTATATACAGAATCACAATCGAAATGTTCCTTTATTTTTTCATGTTTTGAGGAATAAGAAATAAGCAAGCAAACACACACATCACACTTCCCTGAACAATAAATGGAGAAATCAATTTCTTTTTTTTTTTTTCAATTTCTTTTTTAAAGCCAAACACCAGTTTCGTAAATCACACGTTTTCTAGGATTCAGAATCAAAGCAAAGGCAAATGGTTTTGTTTGGGTAGGAGGGTGGGGGGAGTTCATGTTTTGAGTCCAGTTTCACTGGTACCAGGCAATAATCTCCTTCATAGCATTGCCTTTTACTGTAAATGACGATTGGAGCTTATTTATCCCAAATAGTAGCAACTGGGATTAATAGTTATTGCATTATATGTGGAATATATAATGCAATATTGGGCACATCTGCACAAGGCTGTTTTTCAAAAAGTGCACAGAGCAAGGCTATCCCTTTGAGGACTAACAGGTGCCTGGTGCATGGTCAATCCCTGGTGCATTTGAATTATAGTGCCAGCAAAGAATACTGAGAACACCGCAGGGTGTCAGAAGAACAAATCTGTCGTGGAAGAAGCACTCCCAGAATGCTTCCTAGGGGCGAGGCTGGTGAGGTCTCATCTGACATGCTTTGGACGTTATCAGGAGAAACCAGTCCCTGGAGAAGGACATCATGCTTTGTAAAGTGGGGAGTCAGCGAAGACAACATGGGCTCAAACATAACGACTGTGAGGAGGATGCAAGACCGGCAAGGTTTCCTTCTTTTGTGCATCAGGTCGCTATGCGCTGAAACCCACTCCAAAGCCCCTAACAGAAGCAACCGTTACGGAAGCGTGGACACCTGGGGCAGGCCTTCTGGTGCGACTGGTGAATCCGTGGCGTTTGAACAGCGCCGAGAATCCCGCACGCTCGCCCGTGCACGTGCTGCATTCCACCACACCGACACGGAGCGACCCGTCGCCCTCCGGGAGCCTCGTTCTGTGTCTTCACCGGGGCTTGGGAACCCGACTCTTACTAAGGCGGAGTCACCCTTCCCCGCGTCGGGGAGCTGGGCGCCGACCACTCGCGAGCCTGCAGGGGGCGCACGCCTCTTTCCGGCCCGGGGAGCACGGGCGGGGCCGGCGGCCTGCGGCGCTTCCGCTCTCGCTTCCAAGGAGCACGGAGAGCCCGCCCACACCGGTGGGGACCGGCCTCGCTGATTGGCCGCGCGGCGGGGGCGGGGCTCTGGATGTGGGCTGAGGAGGCCGGGCCTGGGCGGGGACAAAAGCCGGGAGGAGTAAAGGTCCCGCGCTGCCGGCTAGCCCTCGGTTTTCTGCAGAGCTGGCGTCGGAACCCCGGGCAGCTGGAGCGGCGGGTGCACGCTGGTGGTCGACTGCTACGCCCCGGCTCCCCCTCTGCAGGTAACCTACTGCAGGCCGCGACGGGCGGCGTCGGGCCGGCTGCGGGGCACGGCTCCGGTTCCGCGTCAGGGAAAAAGGAGGAAAGCAGCTCCGCAGCAGGGACGTAGTGGCGAGGCCTGGATAGGAGGAAGGGATCAATCCAGACATGTGTCCCAGAAGTGGGACTGGGAATGCCGAATGCTGGGGGGTGGGCATCAGGATACGAGGAAGATGCTTGCAGTGACGAGTCCCGCGAACCTTGAGCTGTGGAAGATGGCCGGGAGGCAGGCGTGGCGTAAGAGGAGGAATGAGTGCGGGGCGAGGTGCCGGCGGAGGAGCCTGGAAGCCTAGGACTGGGCGTGGAATGTCGGCCTGGACCCCCGGGACGGCCCCGGGGGCCGGCTGGAGGAGTAGTCCTAGGGGGCGTGGAGGGGGCGGAGCTCCAGGTGCAGCCAGAGTTGGCTGGGGACGGGGGTACACCCCCGCCACGCCTGGATCTCAAGTCGTGGGCCCAGAGGTTGTAAGGCCTGGGAGCTGTGGGGCACGGGGCGGGCAGGGAAGCTTGGAAGGAGGAACCGAGCCAGCTACGGTTGCAGCCCTCTTGCACAACGGCCCCTAGGACGTCTGCTGGTCACAGCTTTGTACCCAAGGGCGTCCGAGTCCAGGGACTGGCTAACGGAAGAGGACCCGGGGACACGCCCACGCAGGCACCCTCCCTGTATGCCCAGGAAGATTCCTGATCTTTTGACCTGTATTTGGAAGATTCCTGCTGACCCCAAAACGCCCTTTGCCCCTTTGGGTACAACTCCATATAGTACCAGAAATAAACCCAGCTGTTGAGCGGTGTTTAAAAACAACCAAATGGCAGTGGTGTTTTGTAGCACGCTTCTACCTACCGCCTTCTCTGTTTGGTTTTAGGAGAGAAACTGCGTTGAGCTGAGTTGGTCAGATTGAGAGGCATTGGGGTGATTGCACGTGGAGGCACCGTCCAGGTGAGAATGCAAGTCCCTCTTTTCTGCACCTTCTGTGACAATCCTCCTTCTCAAGGGGGCTGGGTTCCCAGGAGCAAAGCCACTGCTACGCGGGGCAGGGTTTCTTTCAGCCCATTGTCTGTTCACCAGGCAAGAGATGCCTTTTGCCCAGAAATTATTGTTTTTCATGAACTCACATTTAAAATTAAAAAAAAATTTTAACTGGCCAGAAACCCAGTAGTGATGAAAACATCCAAACAGGGTAAGTGGCTCTTCCTTCTTAAATAGCTCTGTATTATTCCAGGCCTGTTTTCTGGAATCCCACAAGTGTGTCAGGAAATTGGAATTCAGCTGCATTGAGGCTAAATGACCCTAGAGACTCCTTCCTTCTGAAGTCAGGGTTGGAGTGGAGGAAGAAAATCGGAGGAGGGGCGGGGTGCGGTGGGCAAAAGAGGAGAGGTGAATTCAGTGAGACCCAAGACCCATCCCAGGAAATTCAGATGTTGAAGGAAGTAAAATGCTGTGCATTGTGGTGAGCCAACATCGACAACAGAGCTTCACTTTCTCCGGTGAAAACGGGCAGAGATGTAACGGACAGTTGACCATTGTGCGATATGAGAGGCAAAATGATGACTGCGGAAAATGTTGATATAGCTGAGAAGGCAACACTGAACTTTAATCAGCCTCGCTAATCTTGGAATTTTGAAAGACAGTGCTATTCACTGTATTTGCCATTAAGGACAAATAGCCAAGTCTTAACTCTTACATTATTCTGGGGTGGAAGACAGCCACATAAATATAGTATCAAGACCAAGATAAACTTGCTGCTGCTCAGTTCACTCTGTTTACAATATGAGGGCATATGTCAGTGGGGTCAGACATGTGCTTTACTTACTCTTTGTGAAAGACATGCAGTTACAGTTGGGACATTCATAACCTTTGGAACACTCTGGGGTTTGGCACTGTGCCCCAGGGTGGTGCAAATGCTAAACACTCGGCTGCTGACTAAAAAGGTGGTTGGTTCAAAACCACCTAGAGGCATCTCGGAAATAAGAAAAAGCCAGGCAATTTACTTCTGAAGAAGGCAGCTGTCAGCTACTGCAAACCTTATGGGATGCGGTTCCTATCTGACACACCTGGGCTTGCATAACTTAGTCTAGGAGTGCATTCAGGTGTATCAGAATCCTCAGTTGCAGCAGTGCTCTGCCTTTGGCTTCTCCGTTTCCTGCCCTCTCCCGCTGGCTTCTATTGCCTCAACACAGCAGTCGTTCCCTCCCCAGCAGTGTGTGCTTTCTTCTCTTCCAGCTGAGTCCCAGTTTTGCGAATTTGGGAAGTTAAAATGGGCTTGGGGAGGTGGGGGGTGAAACGGGAGCCTAGAGGCAGGAATATATCTTGGCTTTTCGTGGGGAACTGAGAGGTACTGTCTATAAAGACCAAATGACTATAGCCCAACTTTTGCAAGAGAAACTCGTAGCAGGCCTCATAATTCTTTTAATATCCGTGTTCCTGACTTTTCCATTCCTCAATTGCAGCATAAGGGGGTAAAAGTCCTTTGTAGTTGTGTTGCTAGAAAGCAGGTAAGAAGGAGCGGAGGCCAATAGCTGACTGACTCCGGGCCTCCTCGGCAACAGTCAGCATGACCTTCTCTGAGCCTCCCAGTTTCATGACTTCTGAATGTTTGCCCTTCACTTACTGTTTCTGGGAATCCGGTTGATTGGTATGTGTGACCACTTTTCAAAATGGCTTCTTCTGCCTCTTGGGAATAAGTCTGCTTCCCTGCCCTCCCAAGTACCATCCCCCCTCCCCCAGCCCGCAGCCTACCCTTGCTCAGAAACAGCTGGAGGAGGGGCACTTGAAGAGGGGATGTTGAGGAATGGAAGAGGCATGTGCTTGGGTCCTGGCCACAGAGTCCATTCTGACTGATAGCTACCCTATAGGACAGGGTAGAACTGTCCCTGTGTGTTTCTGAGACTAACTCTGTATGGGAGTTGAAAACCTGTCTTTTTCCCTCAGAGCAGCTGGTGGTTTTAAACTGCTGACTTTATAATTAGCAGCCCAATGCATAACTACTATGCCACCAAGGCGCCGTGTCGATCTACAGAGCTCTCTGAATGTCTGATTCCCCACTGACTACCATTGCCTCTTGGAAAACTTAGCACCACCAGGAATTGCTCTTTCACTTTTAGACATGATTAAGTTTTCCTTCTGCCTGCGTCACAAGAGCCCATTCATCTCCAGGATAGTTGTTTTAACCACAATAGCTTCATATAAAGGGAAGATGCCAGCACTTGTCACTCTGCACCATGAGGTTCCAGTAAAAAGAGGAATTCAAATAAACAGTACTGTGGAAATCATCTCGTTTTATGGGGCTAAGTCAGTAGCCAAGAATAGATGTGAATAAGGGCAGGTTACAAGGTCAGACACCCCCCCCCCCCCATTTTAGGGTGGTGGCGTTGGCAAGATGGTTTGCTTTTACCCATTTAAGTAAGATGGGAAAATAGCTTCCATCTTATGGTGTGGCTATGTTAGCCACATGTGGAACATGCCACACAATACTTTGCCCACAGAGATGGGCTTCTTTGGATGAGCCAGAGAGGGTTTGTATTAGTCTTTTAGTGATCATCAAATTATCTGTGTCTCCACTTATAATGGACCCACGCGTGATTCGCTATTTTGTTTTTTTTCTTTTCCATTGAAAAGGTTCATTGAAGTCGAAATGTCCCAAAAAATCCATGGCGGTTCTGTGGTAGAGATGCAAGGCGATGAAATGACACGAATCATTTGGGAACTGATTAAAGAAAAACTCATTTTCCCCTACGTGGAGTTGGACCTGCACAGGTAAATGAATGACTCTTCCTTAAGGCAGACTCGGAAGATATCATCCGAAGGGGGGTCCGGGAGACGGTGAGCTTGTTCACATAGATGTAGCTACATCTTCCTAAAAAGCTGCCCTTTTTGGGGTGGGGGGTGGCGAACATGAATAAAATTTTGCATGGTTTATTTTCATGTTAACAAATTGCTAGAAAATGGAACCTAACATTATCTAGGACAATTAGGATTCTTGGGTTTGTGAAGCCCCTGCTTCCTGTGAAGTGTTTAAGGAACACCATCCGTGGCCCGGAAAGGCACAACGAATGTGGAATTTGTTGAAGGAAAAATAACAAAGGAGACGAGAAACTCTGGATATTTTCTGTCACTCCATTAGCCATTTCTCTTTGCACCCCTTTTCCCTTACTTCATACACCTGTGGGACAGCCACGCCCCTCCTTGCAGGAGTTCCCCGAAAACATCTGTGTTCTAAAGGTCTGTGGGGCTTTTTTTCTGTTAATTTCGGGACAGATATGAAAGGTACTATAGAACGCTGTCATTTTCCCTCTGCGTTTTTCACAAACTTGCTTAGATTCTTTGTGCATTTGAACTAGAAAAACCTAACCAAACTCACTGCCCTTAGGTCAATGCTGACCAATAGCACCCTAGAGGACAGAGTCCAGGATCCCTGGTGGCATAGTGGTTATGCATTGGTGCTTACTGCAAGGTAAGCAGTTCAAAACCACCAGTCACGCCAAGGGAGAAAGACAGGGCTTTCTATTCCTGTAAGGAGTTACAGTCTCGGGAACTCACAGGGCGTTTCTGCCTTATCCGGTACGGGATCGCTATGAATTAGCATAGATTCCATGGCGGTGAGGACAGAGTAGAACTCCTTTGGGTTTCTGAGGCTATAAATCTTGACGAGAGTAGACAGCCCCGACTTTCTCCTGCATTTGTACTAGACATATTTTAAAAGCTGAAGCAGCTGAAGACTGACTTGTTAAAACATTGAGTGGCGCATTGCAGCCAAACTGTTTTTGCCCCGCCGTGAGAAGGAGCAAGTGCTTGCAGGGATCCATCAGATATCATGCCATCCTATGAGGCATCGTGCAAGCTCTTTGAGCGGATTAAGCATTTTATGAGTTCTCACCTGTTTTAGAAATTTACAGTAATGCTCCAGAGAACTTGTGGATATAATGGCTGCCAGGTTGCGTGGAGCTTCATTAGCCTAGAGGCATCAGGAATATTAAAGGGCAACTGCTACATGTAGTTGGTGCCCTGGTGGCACGGTGGGTTAAGCCCTAGGTTGAGTTTAGAACCCACCAGCCATTCTAAGGGAGAGAGATGAGGCTGCTTGCGCCCATAAAGATCCACAGTCTTGGAAATCCAATGAAGCAATTCTCATTTGCCCGTCAGGGTCACTGAATTGGATTCAACTCAAGCAGTGGGTTTGGTTTGACTTTTATCATAGCTGGGAGGAAAAAGCTGGAGCATGCTGAAGGCCAAACACTGTTCTCAGTTGTTCCAAAATGGTTGTCATTATATACTGGTTCTTTATGGATGAGAGTGGAGCTGTTAGCGTCTTAGTGGTCCAACCCATATACAAAGGGGCTTCAAAAGGTTCATGGAAGAGCAGCATGAAAAGATAATGGAACTCTCCCACAAATTTCTTGAAGCGCCCTTGTAGTCTATTCTCTTAGAAATATTAAGAAGTGGAGTAAAAACCCACTAGTTTTGCTGCTAGACTCTTCTGTTGAGAAAAGGCTCTGTAGAACACGGAAACTGCCACCCTCACTTCTTGGTTCCCAGGTAACAAGGTAAGAGAGCAAGCAGCTGTGTGAGCTTTATGTGAATTACGCAAGGTTGCTGCCGTTTGGAAATATGTTTGTTGGGGAACAGGTCAAGATTTCAATATGAGCGTTTGCATCATGAGTTGGGAAGTGCAAGGCAAGGACGTCTCCAGAGAAATCTGGAGACTTCAGTGGTTCAGCAAGCTTTGCAGCAGTCTTTTCCCCACAGCTGTGGAGAACAAAATAAATGACCACATGATTGGTTTACAGTCATTGCTGCCGCTCTGTGGACCAACACTGTTCTTCCCAGCTCTGCCTGCCTGCAGACTGGACTGTTCAAGCGTGTCTTGAACTCTAGCTCTCATAGTATGCAGAACCTTTGGTGGATTCAGTTACGGATCCAGGAAGCTGCAGGCTTGTTTCCAGAACCAAGAAGCTGCCCAGGAATTAGGAAAGGTTCGTCCTATGACTCACTGGCATGAATGAGAGTCGCCATTGTTGCTACTGGCTGTCAGATCTGCAAATCCTGCCAAAACAAATCCTTTAAGACAACCCTCCTTTTTTTTTTTTGGCTGAGTGAAAAGCAAAATGTTGCATGAAGGTATGTTTAATTATGCTAATTACAGGGAGAGAAGCCAAGCAAAAGGGTTGTGGTATTGCCACACGATGAGAAGTAGGCATCGGGGCAGAGCACAGTTTTTTCCATTCAGTTTCCACCTAGACAACTCCATTATAGCACAAGCAGTCCAGTGTATCTCTTGGCGCTTTGTGAACTGGCATCTATCGGCTGGGTTTAAAGCAGCCCTGGTGGCGCTGTGGGTTAGGTGTGAGGCTGCTAGCCACAAAGTCGGCTGTTTAAACCGACCAGCTGATCCTTGGGAGAAATATCAGGCTGTCCCCAAAAAGATATAGTCTCAGAAACCCTACCTAGGATTGCTATATAGGAATCAACTCAATGGCAGTGGTTTTGGGGTGCAATCAGGCTACAACTTGAGAGCATTGGTGGTTTATGAGTTGAGGCCTAGGTTTGACTTCCAGGTTCAGTTTCAGCCAGTGCACCTCCCACAAAGCCACCACCCATGCGTCAGTGGGACTTTGCATGTTGTTATGATACTGAACAGGCTTAAATAGAGCTTCCAGACTAGGAAGAAAGGTCTGGTGATCTTGTGGAATCAGCCAATGAAAACCCTGTGGATTGAAACGGTCCAGTCATGGGGATGGTCCAGGGGAGGTTTCATCCCTTGTGCATGGATTTGCAATGAGTTAGGGACTGACTTAGCAGCGGTGCTAAAACTGAGTAAATTTAGGTGTTTTTCAAGCCTTTCAGTCTCTGCAGAGCAAGCCCCATATGCTCCCACTGCTGTAATTGTTGCCACCACTGCCATCCAGTCAATGCTGACTCATAATGACCCTGTAAGACAGAGCAGACAGACCCCTTTCTGCCAAAGAGCAGCTGGGCTGGTGGGTTCCAACCAGTTAAATCAACGTTTCGGTTAGCAGCTCAATGCATAACCCACTGTGCCACTTACTATGATGATACAGATGGTAATACACGCAGTAACCCAGCAGTGATAATGCCTCCTCCTCCCAGCTACGATCTCGGCATAGAGAATCGTGATGCCACCAATGACCAGGTCACCACGGATGCTGCAGAAGCGGTAAAGAAATACCACGTTGGCATCAAGTGTGCGACCATCACCCCCGATGAGAAGCGGGTTGAGGAGTTCAAGTTGAAACAAATGTGGAAGTCGCCAAATGGCACCATCAGAAATATCCTGGGAGGCACTGTCTTCAGAGAAGCTATCATCTGCAAAAACATCCCCCGCCTGGTGACTGGATGGGTCAAGCCCATCATCATCGGCCGCCACGCTTATGGAGACCAGGTAAGTCACTGCAGCGTGAGCGCACCTGCATCTTTGTCTTTGGCTGCCCGGTAGTGCCAAGTGATAGGTATTGTACTCTTATGCTTGGGGTCTGCTTGCGTTAAGTGCTAGATTGAAAATGCTTGTGCCAGTGTGTCTGTCTGTATAGTTGCCTTTATTTAAATATTATCCAATATACTGTATATACTTGTGGATAAGCCGAGTTTATTTTTATGCAGTTTTTGTGGTAAACTTAGGTGCCTCCGCTGATGTTTGGATCGGCTTTTACTCGAGGATATACGGTGGATTCCTTTAGATAGGCACCCAGCTCAGCACACATGGCTTTTCTTACATGTGCTGGTTTTTGCTCTTTCTTGTTCTTGTTCTCTGATTACGGTAAACCATGAGTTGCCTTTTCTTTTTTTTTTATTGGAAGTTTCAGGTGGCCCGACCTAGTATTTTGATCAGTGGGTCTCAGCCCTGGCTGCACAAAAGGAGTTCCTTTGAGGATTTTGTTTCTTAGTTTGTTTATTTCCGTTCCAGAGGCTAGTCTCACCTCGTACCAGTTAAGTAGTCTCACCCCGTGCCAGGGAAGTCCAAAGTTCGGAGCGATTTCAGTCGTTTAAAGCCCTCCAGGTGATTCTAATGTGCACGTAGGGTTGGGAACCACCAAAGACATGTTCATACATAAAGGAAAAACAGACTCTCTTAGCTGGAAAGCAGTCTCTCTAAACTATCACTTCCCGCTAAGAAAAAAGTCAAATCTCCATTTCTGAATTTCTGCACAAGTAGATTCATTGCCAAATGAAGCAGAAAGACAGCTACTACACAAACTCCAAATTCTGTGCTAATGCCAACGTTTCAGACTTCCCCAGGAAGCAGCCTGTCGCTCTTAGAAGCATTTGAAAACAGGGTTCTCTGTGGTGAGACACCGAGGCTTCTTAGCTGTAGCCATCCTTGGAGCAGTGTTGCCAGCGCGGCCGCTTTTCTTCCCGGTGCCGCGGCTTGGGTTTAGTCCCAGAGAGGGCCGGTTCGTTTTGTTCCACTCCTGGCAGCCAAGCTGTTCTCTCAGCCTGGCCGGTCTCCTCGTCACCTCCCTCAGGCCAGGGGCATGCAGTCCTGGGAGCACCACTCTAAGCACTTACTGGGTCAGAGATGCCTCTTTGGGTCCTTATTGCTCTTTTATTATTATTTTTCTATCGTTTGGCATCGGTCACTTGAACATATGGTCATTGTGTTTATTAAAGTCCAGATTGAAAATTTCGAACATCAAGTTTATTCACTGGTCATTTCTTTCTGCCTAAACCTACGCAGGGGAGCCCTGGGGGTGTAGTGGTTACACGTTGGGCTGCTCTGCTGGAGGAAGATGGCACTTTCTACTCCTGCAGACTCACAGTCTCGGGAAACCCACCGGGGCGTTCTACCCTATCCCCTAGGCAGTGGTTCTCAGCCTTCCTCACTCCGCAAGCCTTTCAGATGGCTCCTCGTGGTGATGGCCCCAACCATAAAATGACTTTTGTTGCTTCTTCATAACTCATTTTGCTACTGTGTGAATCTTAATGTAAATACCTGAAATCCAAGATGTATGTTCATTGTTACAAATTGAACATAATTAAAGCATAGTGATTAATCACAAAAACAATATATAATTATATCTTGTGAAATATTTATTTCTAATTACAAATAAATGAAATTTTGTCTTGAAGCATGGTGTAGCGTGGGTAACAGTCCTCAGGACGGGGACTCGTAGGTGGGCGTATCTGCATGTGGGCGGACCCGCCTGGAGAGCGATAGGGGAGCGGTGTCTCGGCTCCTAAGACCATTGGAAATAGGTGCTTTCTGATGGTCTTGGGTGACCCCTGTCAAAGAGTCCTTTGACTCCCCAAAAGGGTCACGACCCACGGGTTGAGAACCGCTGCTATAGGGTCTCTGTGAGTCAGAATTGACTTGATAACAGTTTGGTTTTGGAGCTAACCCTACAAAAAGGGATTATGTTCTTAGTAAGAGCTTCTCTCTCTCTCTCTCTCTCGAGAAATAGGCAGCCACTACTACCCGTAAATGAAGGCTGCTGTCAGAAGTGTTCTAGGGGAGAATAGGTGTCTCCTCTTCATTGTGGGCTGACAACGCTGTATCCACTGTCAGTGGCATTGCCCTGCACTGACCTAAACAAGCAAGTGTGGCTGGGACCTGATGCTGAATCAGTAGACTAGTGGGTGGCTGGTGTGTGCCAAGCACAGTTCCCATGAGAATAGCTCAGCTGTCCTTGGATAGCCCTTTCCTAGGGGTCATTAACTGGGCGCAGCTGCTTTTAGAATGCTGCCGTCACATGGACAAGCCCTGGGCCTGGCCTTAGTAGCAGTGGTAGCCATGAAGACACTGAGCCCTGAAGGTCTTAGTAAGGACCAGAGCCCAAGTGTTTGACCCTAGCAGAATCACTCACCCACGTCAAAATTCCCCTAAGGTTAAGAGTCAAGTGATATGATTCAAGTCCATCCCCTAAGCCATGTGGAAATCAAACCATCAGTTCTCTCACCATCATCATCAAGAAATAACTATTGTTGTCATCCCCTCTAGGAAGAGTGTTGCCCCTAGTCCTCGTACATCTCTCCCTCTTGCCACCCTGAAACATTTTTTATCATTGCCCCTTACATGTGTGTCTTCTCACTTAGGTTAGGCTTTCAGCATCCTAAGGGCAAGTGTCTTCCATTATTCCCTGTCTGTTCTTCATCAGTGCTCAGAAAGCTTGCCCTGTACTTGGTAGGCACCCACTAAATACATTTGGTTTGTGATGTGCTCCACTGCTCAGTGAGGGAGCCTGAGTAGCACCAGCAGTCTGCAGTGGGCTGCTAACCTAAAGGCTGATCATTCAGACACACCCAGTAGCTCCATGGAAGAAAGACCTGGTGAACTGCTTCCTTAAGGAGTACAGCCCAGGAAGCCCCACGGAACAGTTCTGCCCTCTTTATACTCGGGGTCGCTAAAGTCCGAGACCAACTTGATGGCAGCTAACAGCCACCACTGCCCACCATTAACTAGGTGCAGACTTCTAGGTCCCTAACTTCTGTTTGTCAGGTCTGCAGCTTTTTTCCCCTTCATAATTCCTGTTTAGCTATTTTTCTTCATTATCTTGTGAAATTAAGTTTACTCATATTTACTATCTTTTCTTCTTCCAAACAGTACAGAGCAACTGATTTTGTTGTCCCCGGGCCTGGAAAAATAGAGATGACCTACACGCCAAGTGATGGAACCCAACAGGTGACGTACTTGGTACATAATTTTGAAGGTATGCATAATGATAGCGCAAGCCACATCTTCCTCTTTTTATAGCTCATTTGAGTGCCACGATTGTAGTTGACGTCCTAAAGTAGTTGTGTGGCTGCCTGACCATAGGATCTGTACCAGTAACATTTCAGTAGACCCCAAACTCCTAACAAAGAAAAGTACCTCTGTTCCACAGGATGCGTCAAGGAACAAAAGGGACTTGAGAATGAGGAAGAGAGTGTATGTGGACAATTCCATGCGCTCTTGCTTAAGGAATCTGGGAAGTAGCTGGAGATGAATCCCAGTCACATTCTCCTAACTAAAAATGATTCCCCAGAATGTCCCCCCATAATGCCAACTTCTATTAAGCACATGGTTGCTCTCCAGTACGCACAGAGGTAATCTGCCATCCGAGCAATCAGACCCTATTGTCCGACCCATCCTAGGCACAGCCAACTCCCTTCTGAAAGAATCATAGATTGTTCCCTTGGAGAAGAGCTCAGAGACACTTATGGTCAAGACAGTTCAAGGAAGGCCAAGGTTAAGCTGCTTGTTAACTCTAGAACCCGCCCACCTTGTTACCTATATGCTTACAGCAGGGCTTGCTAGCCCAAGACTATGTAAGCGTGTTGGAGAATGCATTAGCTCCCACACTCCCACACTGGGATTCATCTCCAGCTACTTTCCAGATTCCTGTGGAAGAGGGGAGCACTTGCATGTGGTTTGTTGTCTCTTTAATTTACCCTGCAGTTGCACAACTGCCCTTAGGACCCATTTGGTTGTAAAGGCTGGTCCCCCACAGAAAAGGGCCAGGAATCTGATCTGTTCCAATGGTAAAAATTAAATGCTGGTTGTCCCAATTTACCCAGTATGTAATAATTCTGTTTTTGCCGGAAGTACTTGTGCTAGGTATTTGCTGAGATTTTCTTCTAGCCCTTCTATGTATTTGTCATTTGAAAGTAGAACATTTGCTGTTTGTTTTTCCCTTCTAGCCATCCATACCCCGGCATGAAAAGGTCATTACAACAAAACCCACCCAAAAGCTGTTGAGCGAATCAAAGGTCCCTCTTTTTTCCACTTTTCAAGTTCTTGAGTCCCTTCACCTCCTCACCCCACCAGCACACAGCTTTCCTTGCTGTTTGTTTCCCTTGCCTCTTGATTGAGACCTGACTCCGGCAGGGGCTCCTCTAAATAAGATCATTTTAAAGAATCTAGTGCTGCTAGTTTCAAGGACTCTCACTTTGTGAGCCCAAGTTAACCTTGGGCAATGGCATGGATTCAAGGACTTTGTTTCAGTAATAACAGAGTTGGAAGAACAGTCGTTGTGACACACCAGAAATTACATATAACTTAATTATTTCAACTAATCAGAAAGGAACTTTCAGTACCCGCTAGGAAACTAAAAAAGTGTTCATAGAATATTTGAAATTAAAAGTTTTCCCCGGTAAACAAGCGGCCATCTAGCGCAGAAGCAACAAAGCCCACATGGAAGAAGCACACCAGCCTGTACGATGATGAGGTGTTGAAGGAATCGGGTATCAGGCATCATCAGAACAAAAAATCTTACCATAGTGAATGATGGGGGAGTGCACCATGGTGACCCAAAGCCCATTTGTAGACCACTGGACATCCCCTTACAAAAGGGTTTCAGGGAGGAGACGAGCCAGTCAGGGTGCGATGTAGCAACGATGAAAAATACAACTTTCCTCTAATTCCTAAATGTTTCCTCACCACTTACTATCATGATCCCAATTCTACCTTGCAAGTCTGGCTAGACCAGAGGATGTACACTGGTACAGATATGAACTGGAAACACAGGGAATCCAGAACGGATGATCCCTGCAGGACCAGTGGTGTGAGTGGCGATACTAGGAGAGTGGAGGGAGGGTGGGTTAGAAAGGGGGGAACCGATTACAAGGATCTACATGTGACCTCCCTGGAGGACAGACAACAGGAAAGTGGGTGAAGGGAGACATCGAACAGGACAAGATATGACAAAATAATAATTTATATATTATCAAGGGCTCATGAGGGAGGGAAAAAAATGAGGACCTGATGCCAGGCACTTAAGTGAAGAGCAAATGTTTTGAGAATGATAAGGGCAATGAATGCACAAATGTGCTTTACACAATTGATGTATGTATGGATTGTGATGTTGTATGAGCCCCTAATAAAGTTATTTAAAACTATAATAAAAAGATAAAAACACTGGCAAAAAATAAACAACTACAATCATTTAAAAGTTTTCCCCATGGCTCCTTGAATGCACACCTATAATTTAAAGTACATGTTAGAATTGTTAAAAGATAAGTAAAGGACACTTTTGAAAAAGTATTCACTCTTCTTTCTTGAATGTGCTTCGGCTTCATGCCATTATTTATGTTTTAATAGTCATTATTTTAAAATTGTAAACATTCTATGCTTCTCTCATTTCATTTACCCTTTCAAGCAAGTTAGAATGTTCTTAGCCAGATATGAAAAGATGTAGCGTCTGGGGTCTTAAAGGCCTGAAGGTAAACAAGTGACCATCTAGCTCAGAAGCAACAAAGCCCACATGGAAGAAGCACACCCACCTGTGCTATCACGAGGTGTCGAAGGGATCAGGTATCAGGCATCATCAGAAGAAAACATTCTATAGTGAATGAGCAGGGGAGTGCGGCGTGGAGACCCAAAACCCATTTGTAGGCCACTGGACATCCCCTTACAGAAGGGTCTTGGGGAGGAGACAAACCAGTCAGGGTGTGATGTAGCAACGATGAAACATACAACTTTCCTCTAGTTCCTAAATGCTTCCTTCCTCCCCCCCACTATCATGATCCCAATTCTACCTTAAAACCTGGCTAGACCAGAGGTTGTACACTGGTACAGATAGGAACTGGAAACACAGAGAATCCAGGGCAGATGATCCCTTCAGGACCAGTGGTGTGAGCGGCGATACTGGGAGGGTGGAGGGAGGTTGGGGTGGAAAGGGGGAACGGATTACAAGGATCTACATGTGACCTCCCTGGGGGATGGACAACAGAAAAGTGGGTGAAGGGAGACGTAGGACAGGGCAAGATATGACAAAGTAATAAGGTATACATTATCAAGGGCCCATGAGAGTAAAGAGTGGGGAGGGAGGGGAAAAAATGAGGACCTAATGCTTGGGGCTTAGGTGGAGAGCAAATGTTTTGAGAATGATGAGGGCAATGAATGTACAAATGTGCTTTACACAATTGACGTATGTGTGGATTGTGATAAGAGTTGGATGAGCCCTAATAAAACGATTAAAAAGAAAGAATGTTCTTAGCCAGGACCTCCTGGGTGGCACATCAGGAAGCCTGGGCTCAGCCGGGGAAGCTGCAGGTTGGGAGCCTGGTTGTCGCAGAGTAGCGTCAGCCTTGTGAGAACTGTGCCTCACTTCCCCGTTTGTCTCCTCCGTCTCCCCTGCAGACGGTGGTGGTGTTGCCATGGGGATGTACAATCAAGATAAGTCCATCGAAGACTTCGCACATAGTTCTTTCCAGATGGCTGTGAAGAAGGGTTGGCCGCTGTATCTGAGCACCAAAAACACGATTCTGAAGAAATATGATGGACGTTTTAAAGACATCTTTCAGGAGATATATGACAAGTAACTGAATTTTTTTTTAAATCTTTTCCCTCAAGCTGCTATTAAGAAGCCGTGGTGATGCTATAGGTTAGATATTGGACCACTAACTGCAAGGTTGGCAGTTCAAACCACTAGCCACTTGTGGAGAGAAAGATGAAGCTTCCGCTCCTGTACAGAATTACAGAAACCCTCTCGTGTCGTCATGAGTCTGAACTGACTTGATGGCAAAACGGGGCTTGTTTGGGTTTAAGCTGGCAGTTATGAACCGGAAACTGTACCCTCAACCCTTTGTCACGGGACAAATCAAGTGAAACCATCCCTTGCATATAAAGATGAGTGGAAAACTTATTCTAATAGTTGCTTCTGGAACACACACATGGTCTCAAACAAGGGCTGCATTTACTTTCCAGAGCCAAGACTGCTGACTGTTTGACGAAAGGTAGCATGCTAGTGCTAGAATGGTCTGGCTGTTCAAGTACGTGAGCTACTCAGCCGGGACCATTTCCACTTTTTCTGAAACCCATTGTTCTATTATGATTTAAAAGTCTGCTCTAGTGCAATCACGTGGACTTAAAGCTTATAACGATGTTGGAGTCAGTGTCGCTGTTGTGATCTAAGTAACTTCCAGTAGGTGATCTGAGTTAACTTCCAGCTTGCTTCTAAGTGCAGTGCAAGCCTTCTGGCCAGGGCTCTCTTTCCAGCTGGGATACCTTCCTTCCTGGGTACTTTGCATTCTCTTTGCAATGCCCATCAAGACCAACTTTAGAAACTAGCCTTAAATAGACCAGGATGATAGCAAGCAGTAGGACAGTCCTCCCGCCCATGTTTTCTCTGAATTTTGAGAAGCAATCCAGTCAGTGAAAAAACACAGAAAGTCACTTAATTCTCCCACGTTTCCTGAAATTGCCTTTGCAGGTGGGAAACTGGGGTCACAGGGCTAGAAAATGATAGGTGTGAGCCCATGACTGTCAGACCCCCAGGTTTATGCTGCTTCTGAACAACACTGCTTCCTATCCTCCCTTTGGGAGCCAGAGACAACACCTGGCACCAAACCAATTTCCTTCTTGTTTCCCCTTTCTCGTAGGCAGTACAAATCCAAATTTGAAGCCCAAGAGATCTGGTATGAACATAGGCTCATTGATGACATGGTGGCCCAAGCTATGAAGTCAGAGGGCGGCTTCATCTGGGCCTGTAAGAACTATGATGGTGATGTGCAGTCCGACTCGGTGGCCCAAGGTAAGGAGGCTGAACCACACACAGGTGAAGCTTGGCCTGCATCAGAATAGGTCACTCTGGTAGTTCAGGGGGCTGTTGATGATCTTTGTGAAATGGGTTGCACTATACGGCCTTCGAGCCCATCTTATTTGAGAGGAAAGGACATGAATGAAGCTCAGACTGGGTACGTGACTTTACTCGGCCACGCCAAAGAGGTTACTCTGTAGGTTAACAGCTACTTTTATGTGTGACTGGTTGAGTCGGAGGTGTATGGTGTAGGGGGTTAGCCATTGGGCTGCTAACCACAAGGTCAGCCAGATCGGAACCACCAGCCGCTCCATAAGAGAAAGATGAGATTTCTACTCAGAAATGAATTTGCTGGTTTTGGTGTGTGCAGGTTGAGATTCCTCTCTCTGCTTTAGTTGTTACCACAGTCTGCAACTTGCAGAGTCAAAGCCCCCAGCAGGCAGCACAACTGCCTGATCTGAAAATCCTGGTTTTTTTCTCTGTTGAGAATGGAAAGAGCAGCTCACCCCAGGCTCCTAGGCCAGGTGGAGTCAAGTGAAGGGCCTGCGCTGTCGAATAAGCGGGGGGCCACTCATGGGACTAGGACTCCAGAAGCCTGTTCCTGGAGCACCGGAGAGCGGTGTTCTTCTGACAACCTTGAAGTGGTTCTGGAACTTAGGAAACAAGTGTGTTTACTGCTTAGCTTTTAACATGAAGGCACGTAGCAAAGAAGCGCCGGGCGTGGAGGGAAATTCCAGGAACCACTCCCTCCAGAGCAGGGGAAGGGCCAAACTCGTAGGACTCCTTTGGGCCTCCCCAGCACCCGCGTGCCTTTTAATTTCAGTTACCCAGGTAGCTTTGTAAACCCCCGACTTCCCAGATGAATGTTTGTATTAATGTTGGTTGTATTTGCCTTGCGACAGGAAGTACGTTTTCTTATTCTTCTGAAAGTTAAGCATCTACTGTTAGTATGAAAATCAGCAGGCCGACCCGTGAAAGCTAGCTCTTGCTGGCAGACACATGAGTCACACAGTCCTCTTCACCCTCATCCCGCTGCTCTCAAGGCTCAGTCTTTTGTTCTGGGAGTAGAGAAAGGAATATCGCTGTGTGATGGCTCCATTGTGAACAAGGAAAGTCATTCTTGTGGGATCTACAATTATGCCAGTGTTCCTAACCGTCCTCACGGCAACAAGAAGAATGCAGACAGGTGTGCGCACCTGACATCCCTGATATATGTTCCGTGAACTAGGAAATTATGCCACGTAAAGGTTGTACAAACACCACAGGTTGTACAGACAAACTCACCCAAATCCAGTGCCATCCAGCCGGCTTCTACGCACAGTGACCCTATAGGACAGGGTAGAACTGCCCCTGTAGGTTTCCGAGACTGTAACCCCTTATAGGAGTAGAAAGCTTTACCTTTCTCCCACAGAGCAGCTGGTGATTTTGAACTGCTGACCTTGGGGTTGGCAACTTAACATGTAACCTCTTATGGTACCTGGGCCCCTCCATGTACATGCCGTGTCATATAATCCATACTTAAATCCCTGTAAAGCCAATTGCAGTAAAACCTAATAGGAGCCTTCCCAACAAAACTCTAGAGCTGTAGCCACAGCGGGTGGCCTTGCCTGGGTTGGAACTCTGTTCCTATGGAGGGGGTGATCCCAGAGCTGGTGGTGGCAGCTCTTCCTGATGATCCCATGCCACCCCCTCAGCAGGGAGCCCAGAAGCCCCAGTGCACCTTCACTCTGGGGGGCTGGGGTCTTGAAAACCAACCGTTAAGGGGAAAGTTAAGGAGGGAGATATTTCTGTATTTCAAATGCAAATAGTGAGTTAGGGAGGTTCATGGGACTAGTAGTATGGGTAGGGCCCAGTCCAAAAGTACAGTGAGAGGAGACCTGAGACCCAAGCTCTGACTGGAAAGCCTGTAGATAAATGACTTGACAACTCCCCAAACCACCCCCACCCCCTGAAGAAAACAAAACACCCACTCCCTGCCGTGGAGTAAATGCCACCTCATAGAGACCATGCTACCAGACACAGTAGAATGCCCGTGAGTTTCTGAGACTAACTGTTAAAGGGGCTAGAAAGACCCGACTTTCTTCTGAAGAGTGGATGCTGGTTTCAAACTGCTGACCTTGCGGATCGCAGCCCGGTGTGTATGCCGTCAGGGCTCCTAGATAGGCTAACAGTAGCAGAGCTCTGTTCACCCTGCTCTGGAGGCATGACCTACTCTGGACTCATGCCAATTCATTCCTGTATTCCCGAAGGTCTGACAACTTGTATCGTCTACGAAGGCTAATAGGTAAACAGACTCTTGATGGGCGTGGTTCTTCAGGTGTGCTCTCAGTCCAGGGTTGAGTGTTTACAAAAGCCCCGGACCAAGTCAGCAGTAAAAGGAGTTACTAACCCCATACAGAAATTTTTAACTCCCCAAAGATGAGTGAAAATAAAATGATTGCTAATCCACATATTCAAAGATAGTGAAGTTGATCCTGGGTTGACTCCAGCACACACATACACACACACACCAGCCTATTTTGAATGTACATTATTAACCCCACTGGTGCTATTGAGCAGTATCCAAAATGGAAGGGGGAAACAAACATTTTTCTAAATTCTAAATGTTTAAAATGGTGGAAAAGAAGAAAGGAAACTCAATTGTATGAGCTTCAAAGTAACAGTGTGCTCTCTGAACCAGAGCCACAGCACAGGGTTGGGTTGTGGGGAGCGCTGAGAGGAAGGAAGGGCAAGTGGGACACTCTTCAGCCCAGGTCATTCTGCTTTGATTGGCCTTTTCTTTCCATTGAGTCTGAGTAGCTTCAAGGCTTCAGGAGACAGCTCATATGAATCCCCAAACTGCATCAGCATGTGAAAATAGAAATCCTATTTTGAGGTCTATCTCTATAGGGGGTATTAATCTTTAAAAACCAAAACCCAACCCATAGGGTTCCCGAGGCTGGAATCTCTGTGGAAGGAGAGACTGCCTGTCCAACTTCTGCGGAGTGGCTGGCGGGTTCCAGCCCTCAACCAGCAACGGCCCCTGAGCAGCTCGACAATCCATGTTCCTTCAGGAACGTGTGCATATATCTACTTCATTCTCACCGTGCCGTCGGATTGGTGCTTTGGTCACTCCCATTTTACAGGGAATAACACTGAGGCACACTAGCTTCTAGTCAGAGGGCTCTGGTGGAACGCAGGCAGATCCCAACGTCTCCATCTGGGAGCAGGTGAAGAAAAAATACAACTTTCCCAAACTCCTCAGCTCTGCGATCTGAAACCGTGACCCCGCTTTCAGAAAAGCCCAAGAATTGAAGCTGCCTTCATGCTGCTTTTGTTTACTAAGCACAGTCAGGGTCAGATCCTTTCCCTCCTGAGACACCCAGCCATCTGCAGACCATCAAACCCAGCGCTCCATGCTCTGCCACTTACAGGTTACGGCTCCTTGGGGATGATGACTAGTGTGCTGATATGTCCAGATGGCAAGACAGTAGAAGCAGAGGCTGCTCATGGGACTGTCACACGTCACTACCGCTTGTACCAGAAAGGACAGGAGACCTCCACCAATCCCATTGGTAAGATGGTGTGTTAATGTCTACGCGGGTTTCTGGTATGAGACGGGCCATCTCCAAAGGGACTCAGCGTGGTTCCTTCCTTTGGCTGCTCAGGGTGGGTGTGCAAAGGCGTCGCCAGATAGCTGATTGGTGCTACTGAGGATAGCCGTTTTAAGGTGCTTCTTGAAAGACACAATGGGGCTCCCAAAAGTTAATGGATAAACCGGAATAAAAAGGCAGTGGGATTCTCCCACGAATATTCTGAAGTCCCTGGCATATGTGTTCTATTTTATGGGCAAATATTCTTTATAGACAAGAATGTGATTAATAAGCATTCTGCTTCTCTTCTGGTGTAGCAAAATATCATGGAGGCTAAGAGCGAAAAGCCATATAGATCCTTCCTACAAGTGCACAAGGAAAGCCTTGTATCAAGGAGGCTCACTACCTGGAAAGAGGAGGCCCCTTAACAGATAGACAGGAGTGTCACTTTTTCCAGGCTTAAAAAAAAAAGCATAAGTGTTAAGCATTAGTACTTCATCCATGAAAATGTATTATCATAAAACACTTAAAAAAAAAAAACAGATGTTTTTGTTTTTTACAAAAATGCAGGTTCTTCCCAGTTTCACCTGGTAAAATACTGGCAACGTTCTTAAGACTAATAGTCCATGTGGATAACATCTAATGAAGTCAGTCTCGGGAACTGTTCAGTGTTTGTGACAGTGAGGCATGATGATGGAGGTGCACCTGTTCTTTTCTCACTCTCTCCTGTAGCTTCCATTTTCGCCTGGACCAGAGGGTTAGCCCACAGGGCTCAGCTCGATAACAACAAGGAGCTCAGCTTCTTTGCGAAGGCTCTCGAAGAAGTGTGTGTTGAGACCATTGAGGCTGGCTTCATGACCAAGGACCTGGCTGCTTGCATTAAAGGCTTGCCCAAGTGAGTGTGAACTGCCCTCAACCCTGTGGTCCAATCACAGCGCTTCCTTGGTGGACTCTGCATGAGTGTTTCCTAGAACGGTATGAGTTGTTATTCATCACCGAGGGCAGCGGTTCTCAACCTGTGGGTCGCGACCCCTTTGGGGGTCGAACAACCCTTTCACAGGGGTCGCCCCATTCAGAACAGTAACAGAATTACAGTTATGAAGTAGCAATGAAAATAATTTTATGGTTGGGGACTCACCACAACAGGAGGAACTGTAGTAAAGGGTCGCAGCATTAGGAAGGTTGAGAACCACTGCTGTAGGGTCAGCAAGCACTCCCTGTAAGCTTTCAGAGAGTGAGTAATTTAGGCTGTGTGGGTGGCCTCTGTGGTAACTGCCTCTCTACCTCTGCTGCTACAGCAGAAAAGGAGTCAGGCGATTTGGAAAGTGTGACAGTGTTCCAAATTGTGTGACTGTTTGGCTTGATGCACAACGCCAAGGTATAGGCCATATTTAGCCCATATAATAGTTTGCTAGCTAGTTGGAAATCATTGTATGACACGGTGCTGAAATTAATAACCAAAACAAGAAAAAGGGACCTCAGAGTCAATTTGATGTCACTTGTTTATTTAAAGTAAGCAGCACAGTAGTGCCACGCCCTTTCCTTACGTGTCTGTAACCATCAAAGATTGCACAGGATTGGTAGCCAATGCCCCAGCTGGATTAGCTGCTAGTTAGAAACTCCTCCCCAAAGTCAGTTTGTGACTATGGCTCACATCAAGAAACACAGAACTTTAACACAAATACTATATCCAAAGAGCATGTCCTTGAGGCTTTGTGAAGGTCATTACATATCCGTGGCAGAAGTAAACTGAACGACGTTCTCCACAGTACAGTCCCTTTGTTCTTTAATTGAGAAGACACCTAACAGCAGACTTATGCCAGTCCTCTCTGGTCCTTCCGATAGAAAGAGGAGTGTTAAACACCTAACAGCAGACTTATGCCAGTCCTCTCT